ACTGAAATAAATGAACTTTTCCATGACATTCTAATTTATTGAGATGCACCTGTATGTATGTATGTATGTATTTATGTATAAACATTGAAACAAGTATTTTTCTGCAAAGCTGATTTGAAACAGTATGTACAGTGGGGAAAATATTTATTTGATCCCATGCTGATTTTGTAAGTTTGCCCACTTACAAAGAAATGAAGGGTCTGTAATTTTTATGGGTTTATTTTAACATATAGAGACAGAATTCCAACCAACAAAATGCAAAGTCGTCCTGTACCCTTAGCAGAAAAACAGCCCAAAAGCATAATGTTTCCACCTCCGTGCTTGACTGTAGGGATGGTGTTCTTGGGGTCATAGTCAGCATTTTTGTCCCTCCAAACACGGTGAGTCGAGTTAATGCCAAAGAACTCAAATTTGGTCTCATCTGACCACATCACTTTCTCCCAAGCTTTCTCTGAATCATTTAGATGTTCTTTGGCTAACTTTAAACAGGCCTGTACATGTGCCTTCTTGAGCAGTGGGACCTTGCGGGCGCTGCAGGATATCAGTCCATTGCGGCGTATTGTGTTACCAATGTTTTGCTTGGTGACTGTGGTCCCAACTGCCTTAAGATCATTAACAAGCTCATCCGTGTAGTTCGGGGCTGATCCCTCACCTTTCTTATGATCATCCTTACCCCATGAGGCAAGATCTTGCACGGAACTCCAGACCGAGTCCGATTGATGGTTGTTTTGTATTTCGTCCATTCCCGAATAATCGCACCAACAGTTGTCTCCTTCTCACCAAGCTTCTTGCTGATGGCCTTGTAGACCATTCCAGCCTTGTGCAGATCTACAATCTTGTCTCTGACATGCTTTGACAGCTCTTTGGTCTTGCCCATGGTGGTGGGAGAGGTTGGAATGGAAGATACAGATTGTGTGGACAGGTGTCTTCTACACCTACATTAGGAGTAACTTCTTAAAGTGTCAGGACTAATCTGTGTTCCACATGGGCACATAACCAGTCTGTGGGAGCCAGAATTCTTGCTGGTTGGTAGAGTATCAAATACTTATTTCACTCACTGAAATGCAAATAAATTTCTGACCTTTATATAATGTGTTTTTTCTGGATTTTTTGGTTGATATTCTGTTTCCCACTGGTTAATCGACGTGTGACAACACCGGTAATACCGGTATCACCGCGGGGGCGGGGGTGTTCCCTCTTTTCCTCGCTTTCCTTCGCTTTTAAATAGCTTGTAAAAGCTGTGTGTGCATTTTACTTTCACTTTTAAATAGCGGCAATTCGGCATAAAGCAATTGTTCGTTTTTAGTTCGTTTGAATTTCCCCTCTTTTCCTCGCTTTCCTTCGCTTTTAAATAACTTAAAAGCGCCAGGCAGTCAGCTCGACTCACTCTCCTCACTGGATAAATGAAATCTGATCTGTGATGCGACTGAGGTTCGCGTACAGCCGCGTTCAGTTTTTAATTGTAGTGTCTGTTCTTTTACTGAACTAAATAATTTTTATTACTATAAAAAAATCAAAACGTCGGTGGGGGTCGGTGCCGCGGTGGGCAAGTGACAACCGGTGTTGCGGCCTAACACCGATATCACCGTCAGCACTGTCTATCGCGGCAAGCCTAGTGAGTACAGAAGATGTTTGTCTTTTAAATTGTGCCATAAATGTTATTCTAGGCTACAAAATATGCTTTACCACTCCACATTTTCCTTTGAATTCTTTTTGCTGTGGTACTGCGTTTCATTTGTTAAATATTTTCTACATTATTTGTCTTTGCTTCCTCGCCTGTAGTGGGCAGACCCCAGCAGAAACAGATTTCCAGGTTCTTGAGATCGCTCGTAAACTGGAGATGTATGGGGTTCGCTTTCATCCTGCCGCTGACCGAGAAGGCACCAAGATCAACCTGGCTGTCGCACACATGGGCCTGCAGGTCTTTCAGGTACATGCACAAATTTATTGTCTTACTGAATATAATTGATTTTCATATCGTTCTCTATTTTAGTCATATTATTAGTGCATTTTAATGTATGATTATTATTGCAGTACATTCATATAAAATTCAGCTGTTGTGTGGTCATACATGTATATATGTATGTTTTTGTTTTTTATTTATCTTTTTTTTTTTCCCCAGGGCCACACCAAAATTAACACCTTCAACTGGTCTAAAATTCGGAAGCTGAGCTTCAAGAGGAAACAATTTTTAATTAAATTGCACCCAGAAGTTCATGTGGGTATCAAATTTACATTATATATTGTTATTTAATATTATTATATGTACATATACAAACATGTAGACACACTGCCTCAATTCAAAGGGGACAGAATGTAGTCTAATATGACAACAAAGACTGTTAATACATACCTCCAACAAAATAGACAATTTTGGAGAAATACAATGCTGTGAAATCAGTCTGTGGATTCCTGGAACATACAGATTCAAGTGTAGAAGTAAAATGTACAAGCTCAGGAGCTTGGTTGGATGGGGCCATCCGTCTCTTACCCCGTGTAAACATTTTAAATGTATTCAGGGTGACATTTGTTATTCTGTCGGGATCAATTACATGGAGTGCTAAGAATCAAAACCATATGCTTCCTCTTGTTGCCTTTCATCTGAGATGGAAGTTCTTAAGTTCAATCTTTTCTCAGTGACTGATCAACCTTTCGTTTCACAGGGTCCTCATCAGGATACGCTGGAATTTCTAATGGGCAGTCGAGATCAGTGTAAGATCTTCTGGAAGAACTGTGTGGAGCATCACTCGTTTTTCCGTCTGTTAGATCAGCCTCAGCCCAAATCCAAAGCCATCTTCTTCAGCAGAGGATCCTCCTTCAGATACAGGTGCACACGTGTGATTATATTGATGTGGGCGATATATTATTTAATGTGATGTACCAGAAGAAATGTTTAAATATTTTTTCTGTTGTGGTCATTGTAGTGTTTCCTGTTCTGCTTCTTAGTGCTGGTTCTTAGTATTTCTAAGAACTGTCCTTGTCTTTCTAGACTGTCCTTGTGAGTTCAAAGCAAAAACAAACATACAGCGCAACCACTATAACAGACTTACTAGTTAAATCAGTCAGAGAAAGCCTTCACTGAATGAACTAACTAAATCTTCGCATTACTTTCAGAAATGTTTGTCACAAAATGAGTTTTTCGGTACCAAAGGTTCACAATTACTATCAGTGCAATTACAGTAATGTACAACTGGGTAATATCTGTAACTCTGCACTTAACATTAGGTGATTACATAAGGAACTATAAAGTTTTTCAGTACTCCATAAACATTATCCAAAATGTGATAAAAAAAAATTTTCAACTATTTATTGATATTTATAACGTTTTTGCAATGCACTGTACATTACTTTTCAAATATAAGATTTTTGGAAGTTTTTTTTGTAGTGGTTTTAGTATTTAGTATATTTAGTTGTTTTTTTTTGTTGTAATTTTTCATATATTGTGAGGTACTCTACCATTTAAAAGTTGGAGTCAGTATAATTAATACTTTTATTTAGCAACGTCACATTAAATTGATGATTACTATAGATTTCTATTAAAAAAAAACAGCTTTTCTTTGAAACTTTTTACAAATTGTAGCTTTTACTTGGTTTGTTAAAAAGCATTGTGTATATGTGACAGTGGGAGGACACAGAAGCAGCTTGTTGAGTACGTGAGGGACAGCGGGTTGAGAAGAACTCCTTACCAGAGGTAAATATTTCTTTCAAAGTTTCACCTGAAAGCAGTTTTATACTGTATACTGGACCATCCTTTGTTAACCCCTTTGATGTGGTGCTTGTTTGTCTTTGCACTGATTATGCTGTTTTTACAGGAGGAACAGTAAGATTCGCATGTCGACACGTTCCTTGGCTTCTGATGTGCCAAAACAGGTCAGTAGAGTCTTAGATCAATCTCTCGACTGTCAATACCAATATGAAGAACAATAACTGATTTCTGTTTTCATCCACTCTCTTTACCTTACCCATCCGTTTCAGAATCTGTGTTTTAACGACAGTCTAAGGTCTCCAGTACCTCCTTCCTCTGTCACCGCCTCCGTCCACTCCCTGCATGCCCCCAGCTCACCCATGCGGATGGAGACCCCGAACCAGCCTGTGCATCTCCAGCAGACGCAGCAATCCGCCAGAGCCCCCAGCCCAATGCAGCAGGACTCCATCAAGACCAACTCCCAATCCACCTACGCCTTCCCAGGTGCCACTCATAGCCAGGCAGCAGGAGACTGCGGCCCCTCATTTGTGTGTGTAGAGAGTAGTTCCCCTAGTGTACGGCCCTCCCAAAATGGCAATGAGGATAGCGAGCGAGTAGGGGTGAGTGGCGTAAGCAGTGTGGCGAAAACGGGCTTCCTCACACCTGAAGCGTTTGAGGCAGAGTTAATGCGCGTTCAACAACTGTCATACCAGATCCCGATATCCTGCACGCAGCTGCATGTTAGCGAAGAGTATATAGATGACGATCCGGCTGAAATTTCATTTTACGCTGGCGGTGCGGAGGCCTACGGTTACGGGTTTGACGAAGAGAGTCCTGGGAGGTTCGAATATGGCGTTCAGCCCGCTACATACGTTCTCAGCCTCGAGGACCTCAACGGCAACGCTAACGCGTTCCCTGAAAGTGCTTTCGGCCGATCCGAGACCAGTTCTCTGGTCAACAACCGCTCCGAGTGTAGCTCGCTGGATAACCTTCCACTAGGTTCTGTTGGCGACTCGCTCTCGCTTGGTTTCGGAGGTCCCGACTCCTCATCCTCCCTACGTCTGCCTGGTTCTGAGAACCTATCTGAGGCCAGCTCGATGGTTAACTTCCCTGCGTATTCAGTGCGTTCAGAAGACAGTTCGGCCATGCAGTTCAACGATCTGGTAGAGCAGCTGGAGCAGCTCAGCTATCCGCCCACAGCCACAGAGTGCTCGGCTGACGGCAGCTCCGATTCCGACTCCGACTGGGGGTCAGATGGAGATTTGCCTCCAGATCAGAACCTCTTCTTTAGCAATCCACTAGTGAGTGGGGCAGATTTAGACAGCTTCTTGCTGGAATGTCATAATCTCAGGGCTCTAGGCATTGGGGAGCCCCCACCAGGCCCCACCCATCTTAAAATGTAGCGTGACCCCATTAAACGGCAGCAGTTATCATTGGTTTTTAATGCAGAACATGACCAAGCACTTAATTGTCCACCTTATCCTGATAAAATCAGTACTTATAGTTTTGGCACCTCCTGTTAGCGCTTTAATCTACCACTTTTTTCTCACGTGCCCTTTCCAGTGTGCTTCCTTTATCTCTCTCTTTGGTGTTAATTCATTCTCTTTTTTTTATTGTTTTTGAATAATGTGCTGTGAGTTCTTGTAGGACAGTAAGATTCATTAGCATTATTCAGATTATATATAGTTAAATCACTTATTATCCGTTTACATTTAATCTTAGTAGTCTGGATGGCTACAAACTAAAGTTGCGCTGTGACTTTTTAAGAAGAAAATTAAATGGCTGTATCACCTAGAATTGATATCCTTACCACTTTAAGCATATAAAAGTACATATTTAACATACATATATATATTTTTTTTTCCATATTAGAGCTGCATGGCATGCAGGAAAAATGTGATAATGGCTGCATGCATTACATATAAGATTATGGCACAAATATTATTATTATTATTATTATTATTTTACTAGATTTAAATCCAGAAAATGATTAAACATCTAGTATGCCTGGCTCTTGTTCTTCCTGGGTAAAGAAAACATCCCTCAGACTTATCGAAGTGAATAGCAAGTATTTTACTGAAGTATCACGCTGTAAAAATAAAATGGAGTAATAAAATAAAATCTTACCCAGCATTTGAAAGCAATCAAATGGAAATCTAAACGAAGGGTAAGTTCAATTGACAATTTTAACTTGTCAAGTTTTGATTTGATAAGCTTACCACAATACGTTAATTTTTTAGGTGTATCTTTAATTCTTTTTCCTATAAATGTTTTGACCTCATGGAGTCCTAAATTGCATTCAACATTGATTTTCAAAGCAAAACTCGTTTAATGAAAATGAATGAGGAGAAAATATACATTACAAAGATAAGCTTTACTTGCATGTATGAAGGTACTTTTGTATCAGGATAACTGCACGAATCTATTCCAGTAATGAACCACTCTACTCAGGGCTGTGATTTAATTAGCAGTGGACCTGACAGCCATTGCTGCTAAGAGCAAATTTGAGCCGAAGTTATTTTTGTTTTTGTTACTTTAGAGTTAGTCGCTCCACTCTGCCCCCTGCTGTTTACCTTTCAGACATGCATTGCATCTCAGCTATTCTGATTGGGCTACATGGCTGCATTTACACTGACTGCCACAGACACAGATGGGTCATTGTTGCATGTATGTATAACAAAAACACTTTTTTGGCATCGAATTTGAGCCATTTGCGAATTTCACTTTCAAATTAGCATTTTGACTTTTTTTTAACTTGTCTTAAAAAGTTTGGATCTGTGCATGTTGCTTTGCAGTGTAGTCCTGTGAGTTATTTAATTTTTTTGTTTGTAGACTATTGTAGCCATTAACCCATGGCCTGCACGTAAATAAACACTAAACGGAGACACTAAAGTTCAAAAGATTGGGTTCAGTAAGATTTATTTGAATGTTTTTGAAATAAGTTAAAATAATACAATTATGTCTATTAGGCTGAATTTATTTGATCAAAGATACAGTAAAATTGTGGCATTATTATAATGTAAACTATTTCTTTCTATTTTAATATATATTATAGGGCTGCCCTCGACTAAGGATTTTTCTGGTCAACTAGTAGTCGTTCATTTGAAGCATTAGTCGACTAATCGCACGTTTATTAATAAACTGTTTAAATCATTATAATGAGCCTTCAATTGCCTACATCAGGGCCGCATTAAGACCGCACTGGGCCCCGGGGCTATGACTTACTGCAGGACCCCCCATCACAACAATGATATATAGATCATTTTTATTTGTCCTCAGAGAGGAAATTCATTTTCACAGAAGGTGTGTATACAACACAAGGACAAGTATCCATTATGTACAAACCTGTCACAATACATTCACGAAAAAAAATATATATATATATGTATTATAAAGCTTTAAATAGGATTTTTATCCCATATCAAAATTCTCGATGCACTGAAATTTCATAATTTTTCTTACCAATTTCAATATCACAAAAAAGAATACTAGCCTAAGTAAAAATAAGCTTACTGAAGACAAGTAAACAGTCACAAATTAGGCCACAACAGAACAAAGATTATTTAAAAAATCGGCCTACTTGAAAAACTTAAAACACTGAATAATAAATATTATATTGTATAAAGAAAATGTGCAAATAGACTGAATAGTCTTCACTGTATAAATTCAATATACATTCATTCTTATTTATTTTACAAAAGTGATTCAGTCAAGGACAGTAAGTGATTTTCTTTCTGATGTTTGATTTACATTATTGACACAAATGGCAACAACAGCTATATTAGGCTACTTTAGGAATTTAGGCAATTTTAGGAATAGTTCACCCAAAAATGAGAATTCTGTTGATGTTCTAAACCTGTATGAGATTCCTTCATGCTATTGAACACAAAATAATATATTTGGAACAATATTGGTAACCAAACAGTTGCTGGGCCCTCACGACTTCCATATATGAAAAAAAATACACTATTGGAGTCAGTGGGGACCAGAAACTGGTTACTGGTATCTTCATTTTTGGGTGAACTATCCTTTTAAGATCTCATCATATAATCCAGGATCTCATATAGGCCTAGCCTAACACTACACATGCTTTATCTTTAAGTATTAACGTTCATTTAAGACACAAATAACTGTGTTTATGAGGATACTCGCAAAGACGGGCATTTTGACACATAACTATGTGTATTTGAACGTTTAAGCACAAGGAGCGAAAGTTTAGTCAGTCGTTATACGAGCAAGTGCGCGCCACACGAATCAGGCTGAAATGGTCTTAATGCACGTATTTACCAGAATGAATTGACACACATCATGACACACTTCAATCAACGATTGATGTATTTCTACCGGATTATCTCCCAACCCTTAAACGAATATAGTTTGTTCAAAAACAAAAGAATTCCAGTTAATAATCAAACTAACCTAAAATCTGTGTGGACGATGACACTGTATTTATCTGCTCCATGTGCCCGGTTCTCTTGCTGTTCCAACAACTTCCACTCCATCATCAGCTTTAGTAAAATAACCTGATAGCTGGGGAGTTTACTGATTAACTTATGTTGTTTTTTTCTGTTGTTTGTATTTGAAGTTTTTCATTTTTTGAGCCCTTCTCTCTCAGAATTGCGGACATTTTTACTTATAGAATATTGTTATTTGCGCGAACATTTCCAGATTACTCCAGAACAAAGTGAAGAGTGGAGGTGAATGCAGACATAGGCTACTGGGCAGCGATCACCTGATAGATACGTGCACATATCGTTCAAAAGTCAAATATAGAATAAATGCATTTTATTGGTAAACCAAATTCAGACTATGTTTCAATCTCAAATGGTAATGCATGGAATTTACGGAAAAACTCAACTAAATAACAGCGCTAATAAGAGTTTCATGCTCAAGTTAACAGAGACCGAGACGGCAGAATGTGCATCCCGTTTGCTTTAATTTGTTTGCACACAAATAAACGTAGAATCTTTGTAGTACTTTGCCTGTGGATTTTTTTTTTTTTTATGCGACTAAGAACATTTTGGTCGACCAAGCCTCTTCTGGTCGTCTAACGATTAGTCGACTATTAGGGGGCAAGCCCTATATATATATATATATATATATATATAAATAATTTAGTGCTCAAGAAACATTTTTATTGTCAATGTTGCGAACAGTTGTGCTACTTGCGTCATGCAGTTTTGTCAGGATTATTTCATGAACAAAGCTGAAAAGAACAGCATTTGAAATAGAAGTCTTTTGTAACACAAATCACAGACCCCAAAATTTTGAACATTAGCGTAGCTTTTTACTTTCCATCAAAGAATGTAAGTGGTTGAGTATTGTAATGTGCTGTCAATACCACTGCTAAGAAAGTGAATGTAATCTAGAGCTTGAATCCTAACCTCATGCATATTGTATGCACGTAGGAGCATGTGGACCTAAAGAAACCGGAGTGACAGTCAGTTGTCCCCAATAACAATTATGGTTCGATAAAGTAAAATGTTTCTATCATTAACAGTACA